CAACAACAACAACAACAACAACAACGCATTAGTCTTATATAGCACTTTTTAAGACCCTCAAAGATACTTTACATTTTTCATGCATCATTCATTCACACACTGATGATGGTAAGCTACATTGTAGCCACAGCTGCCCTGGAGCACACTGACAGAGGTGGGGCTGCCAGGCACCGGAGCCACCGGACCCTCTGACCACCATCAGTAGGTAAGGAGGGTGAAGTGTCTTGCCCAAGGACACAACGACTGAAACAGCTGAACGGGGGATCGAACCAGCTCCAGGACGACTCAAAGGTGTGTGGAAAAACAGACAGTTGGTGCAGTGATACAGATTTGATCTGTCATAAAATAAAGCCACCACCAAGAAAACACATTAATAAAGAAAAAAATAACAAAATAATCAAATCTGGCCTTTATTCAACAGAAATGAGGAAGGTGTGATTTAATACAAGGAATAAGCTGGAGTTGTTGCTGCCACAGCACCACAGGCAACACCTTAAAACATCATTAAAGAAAAATAATAAGGCTGCCTGGACCTTGGTCACCGCAGGCTTCACCACTCTACATGATCAATTTTAAAACTGAACAACTGTACATCACATGCACTGTTTGTGCATCAATGTGAGAGTCTTTGTTTTGCTGCTGCATTAACGAAACGCTTCAACAACTGTGAGAAATTAATAACTGAATATCTACAACTGATTATCCTTCACATAAATTATATGACACGTTGATATTGAATTATGAAACATCAGTATCAAGAAAATAATATAAATATTATATAACATTTGCTGGAGCCTGAAAATGATAAGAAAGTGACATATATTATATTATTATTATTATTACTACAGTATATTATCGCTACTGCTTCAATAAACTGAGGAAGCAAAGTATGTTTATCTTTAAAAAGGGATAAATAATTTCTAATATGTCTGCAAAAGAAGAATGAAACTAAACTAATATAAGTGACTAAATGATGTAAAGTTATATTTATCATCATTGAAACAGTGGAGCAAGTGTTTAAAGCATTCTGAGCCTTCTTTAGTTGTGTGAACGCTTCGTAGCATTCACACAGCTGAGATCCTTTTTTCTCCCGTACGTTTTTCAGCACCTAACTCGTTCACAATTTTGTGCTATTTCAACAATTCATACATCAAAACATTCAGCTCATTCATATGAGGGCTGCTATGACTTTTGGTGTTTCAACTTTTTATACTTTTTTAGCTATTTCRCTTTTTTCAGCCACTTTTCTGCCATTGAAAATGAATGGAGCTGTTTTTTAACATCCTTAAACTCCTTCAAAATGTTCCTAAATGGTTACAGCACCTGACACATTTTGTTCTGGTTCTGCTCTTTTTCATTTTCTTGTGCTAATTTTAGCTACTTTTTTGCTAATTTTAGCTTTTTTCTGCCATTTCAGCTTAAATTCTGTTTCTTTCTGCTGTTCTGGGTTTTTTTTTATTTACTTTTTTCTGTTTTTTTCTGTCACTTTGTGGTATTATTCGTCTTACARACACTTTCTGCTATATTCAGCTATTTGCTGAAAATTTAACTAACGTTTAGCTGCTATTAGCTAAAGCTATCTTTTCTAAGTTAAATACATTATTTTGTAGCTTTTACAACTTTTTTCAACTAAGTTCAGCAAACTTGTGCTCCTTATGCTTTCTTATGCTAATTAAAACATTTCACCTACTTTTTAGCTGTTTTACTGAAAATTTCAGCAGTTTTAGTTATTTTACTACAAATGATCACTTTAATGATTTTTTTTCAGCTTTGTTTCTGTTTTAGCTATTTTTCAACTATAACTATATCATCTTGGTTCTAATTTCAAATTGTGGCTGCTGCCTTTAGCTTATTTGATGCCAATTTTAGTTATTTTGTGCTACTTTAGTTATAGATCTGCTTCTTTCTGCTATTTTTCTACCTAGTGCCATGTACTGTATGTTTCTTACAGATGTTTTCAGCTATTCAGATATTTTAGCTTTTAGCTGTTTTCTCTTTTCAACTAGATTTATGCTCCTTTTTACTGTTTTTCTGCAATGTTRGGATTTTTTGCTCCTTACAGCTTTTCAAAGGGCKGCATTAACACTTTTCCTATAAAACGTTTTCAGCTCATTTTCGGCAGATTTCAGCGCAAGTTTTCAGCATGAAACATTCACACCATTTCTTTAGTCAGTGTGCATTGCCAATGCARTGCACACTATTGTGATTCGTTTCTCATCCAAGTCATTTCCACTTTGCCATGCTTCTCCTCCTACAAACTTTGTCCTAGAGCTGCCATTGTAATTTATATCTGTAAAGCCCCTGTG